CCAAATATAGTGGCATCTTGTGGAAAGAGGTTACGATGATGATCTAAAAATTCATCCAAATAGACAAACATACACAATTCCAGATTCTTCTCATAAATAAAATCTGCAACAACTTCCTGCTGGCGTGCTTTGGTTAAACGTGTAGGCCTGGGCATGATATATTTGCGGCGATAAGACGTCCAGATGCTCATCCCGCTATATACTTATTTGTCAATTACTCCCTTGAATAGATACAACTTGACATCTATATTAGATATTGTTGTGTATACCCTCAAACACAAACATTGAGAGAAATATTCCCGGGAAAAAACGTGGTATATCAACTATCAAGAGATCACCATTCCGCCTAATATGCCAAAAAGGATTTGCAACAGATGTGACCAAAAGAAGCCTTCATATGATTTCTACGATGATTCCAGAAATACATGTAAGGAATGCAAGATAAAGTCTTCCAAGGAGAGCTATCAGGCAAAAAAGAATGGTGGAAAGCATGTGAAATCTGGGAGATGTAAGAAAGATGAGGATGTGCAACTATCCGATGATGATTTACAGTATGAGAATAAGAAGTTAAAGAAACGTGTTAGAAAATTAGAGAAAGGAATGGATAAGATGAACCAAATTATTTTCCAGCAGAAGAAGGAGATTTATATAATAAATGCCTTGATCAAAGGATTTGCCAGTGGTCTCATGGTAAATCAAGAGGAAGAATTAGATACAGCCAATGTTGTTGAGCTATCGGAATAAATTTTTAAAATGTGCAATATATATACCTTCCATAAGTAGTATTATGGGAATTATTCCCAGGGAATTCAAGTACTGTCAACCAAGCTGGTACCATTATCATCATGATGTATATGCATGAGATTCACCGTGGAGACACGTATAAATGCTATATATGTTATATGAACGTAGGTTTTTTAAAATGGTGGGCATAGCTTAACAAAAGACGAGAAAATAGGTGTACTCCCTCGCCCAAAAAAAAGCGATCTCCCCCAATTCTATTCCTCGATTACCGATATGTAAAATATGTTTATGTTGATACTCTTTCCTTACGTTTTGCTCTTGTAATACTGCTAGATAACTATGTCCATTTGGATTCTTTTGCTTTTGTATATGTATTCTTTATAGATATATCTGTTGTCTTTTTAAAAACTCCTTCCATAATCGTCTGTACAAATTCTTGCAACTTCCATTGGTATTCCATAACATATTTAACTATTTCGACCCAAGACATTTCCCAATTCCAACTTTGCTAAATTTACGAATGACGTTAGAAGATGCATCCCTCGAAGGAAACATTCCTTTTTGCGAGCCAGCAACTAGCGTGATGGCAGTACATCCAGGCTCGCGCTTAAATGTCCTTATTTCGCCCAAAATAACTTTCTCTTTCCCATTTACCTCTTCTACATGTCCTTCCACAAAGTATATAGGTCTATCGTTAAAGGAATAGTTAGCCAGCAAAAGTGTAATAAGCTCGGGGTTCTTAAAGTTTTGCCACATATATCCATACTTCTTAGAGGTTACCGAATTCCACCAGTGACAATAAGCAAACAGTTTCTCATGTGGAAAATGTACAGCCACCATCGAGGTAATGCATTTTGCACGTTCCTCCCACTGCATCTCAAAGGAACATTTAAATGTTTTACATTTCTTCAAGAGATTCTTTGTCTTGTCCATTTCGTCTTGATATGACTGAAGAGATCTCAAAGATGAACCTTCAAACGTCAGCTCGATACGACTATAACCATGCTTTTTATATTTTTTAACTCGTCGTCCAAATGCTGTTTCTTTCTCCACCAAATCCTCCAAACGTGAACCAAGGCTCTTTCGCACCTCGGCACTTTCCAAAATCTGGACAAATTTGTTATACACCTTATATCGGATATTCTTTGTATCCCCTTTTCGACCTCTCCATGAAATACAATGATGTCCTACTCTTCCCACATCATCGACAATTTTTGTAGTTTTCGTTTGTTTTAGCAATCTCTCCACGTGCAGTCGTGTGGTAATACGCGTACAATCATAGGCAAAGTCTATGTCATGTAAAGCAATGCCGCTCTCGTTCAAGCTAGACAACATGTTCGCCAAAATTGGCACAACAATCTTTGCACGGGAAAAATCTAAAGAAACCTTGATGGCAATAAATCCCTGTTGGTATTCTTTTCCAACAAACAACTTTCTATGGCGTTTGACCATGCGCGGAGAAAAATAGTTATCATCCATTTTAACCTGCCTAGCATCGACCAACTTTACAGATTCCACATTTAAATCGGTGTGGTTAAATGCATCGCGCAGTTCAGCAATGTATTTTCCAATTGCTGTACCTTTAGTGGTATCGTCAGCAAAGTTATATATACCCCAAAAGATGATGGAATCGCAAAAGAGTTTGGAGAATTTGGTGAATCCTTTTCTCTCCACACTGCCAAATGGTACTGACTGTAGATTACCCACATTTGACAGCAAATGGGAAATTTCGTTGATGGCTTTGTTTATCAGAGATTCTTTTGTTGGCGACATAATAAAAGGTATACTTAGGTTTTAAAAAGTCTATAATTTAGGTCGTCATTTTTTTCGGTAGCGGCCCCTTCATGTGCAGAGGATATAAAAAGGCATATAAAAAATATCCAAAGCCCAAGGAACGGAGTGTTTACTTCCATAACTGACATATCTCTTCATAGTGGGCAACAGAACACAGAATAAAATAGCAATAGACAGCACATGTTTTTTTAAAATGTAATCTCTCCCCTGTATTTCGCCCCAAAGATACAGTTGAGAGTACAAGTGCTTTAGATGATGACATACAAGAACTACTCTGGCGAATCTTGCAGTGAGGGTTACAGGTTAATAGTAGATGGACATATTCAAGAGTGTGGTGTGCGAAAAATAAGAAGACTTTGTTGTTTGGAGAATAGGTTGGTGTTTAGTAGGATAGTTGAACAAAAAATGTTACAATGGTTGTCTTATATGCTTGGTATCATATATACATTCTCATCCCATAGTCGCTATGGATATTGTCGAGATCTACAGAGATGTAACAAACACCATATGATAACTTGGACGTGAAAGGCCTCCTAAGTACATTGTCAAGCTATGTGGAAAGAATACATACGTTGGCCTGTTTACGCTTGATCATCTGCGTGGCGGTGGTGATGTTCCAGAGATGGATATCTTGGAACGCTCCATGCTTAGCAAGATGAAACTTCAAGAAATGTCTGATGAAGAGAGAAAGATGCTTTTCAACGAGGAGGTCGAAGTAGAAGAGGAACTACCAGTGGAAGGACCGACAGATATATCCAAGATGAAATGGAAAAGGTTTCACAAGCAGCAATTGGAGTATTCCAAGAATGTACTTGTAAATGGAAAGCACATTCTCAAGATCCGCAAGCAAAACATTGTAGTTGGCTTGGTGACTGATGACCACATTAGTGCAGAGAATGTCGACTATGATAATCTTAACCAAAAGGAAAAAGAAAAGATCTTCGCTATGGGCTTTAAGCCACAATGGTCTAAGGATAGGTCGACAGAGAAAGGTGAACCGGTAGAAAAAATAGATGATGAGGTGCAAGAGTCGAATATTAAGGAAACTTTAGATGAACTTGTAGAAAAAGTAGATGATGAGGTGCAAGAGTCGGATGTTAAGAAAACTCTAGAAGATGGTGGACCTATGGAAAGCGAAAATGTGAATGCCTCAAGTGTTTACACTACAAAAGACCATCATGATTTTCTGAAGGCAATGGGAGAAGTATATAGCAAAATAACAGCTATCGAAGAAGAACTCCGCGAGGAATACGTTTCGGCAGATGGTAATGCAGAAGAAAAAGAACTAATTTTTCACCTAGGTTTGTTGGAGAAAGATTATTCCAACTACGAAACATGGCACATGGATAAGTTTGGTTCCCGCGAACCACATTCCGATATATTATGTAAGTTCGCAAAAGAAGGATCTCACAACAGAAAAACCATAGTGCAAAGTGTATTAGATAGTATTCAAGCCAAAGAGAAAAGTACGATGGAAGAAAAGAAGCCTCTTGAAGTAACATTTGAGACCGCAGAAGAGTAGATCAAGAATTTTAAAAACTGTAGATATACCACTTGCACAAATAAAGCTTTTATATATGGAATACACATGTAATATTATCCTCGTCCCTTCCAATGAGATTCACCAGATATATTACCCATCTTTTTAAAAACTTCCACCATCCTTTGCACAATTTACAATATTTCTTTCTTGATCACAGTGGTGTTTATCCACAATCTACTTATATTTAACATTACGAAAATTACAATAACTATATCTAATATGTTCTACAATGCATGCACTCTTTATGACATTTATTTTTTCACCATTGGCATGTTTACCAACGATCTGTATAGGAGGCCGCATATCAACAAATATTATAACAATCGTAACTTCCTACAAAGTATGTTACATCAAACATTATAAAAACCACGATAACTTCATCTGAGACGTTCCACAATGCATGCACCCTCACCATTATTGCATTACCCATATTTTTTTAAAACATTCACCTAGGAGGCCTTTCAGGTCCAAGTTATCATATGGTGTTTGTTACATCTCTGTAGATCTCGACAATATCCATAGCGACTATGGGATGAGAATGTATATATGATACCAAGCATATAAGACAACCATTGTAACATTTTTTGTTCAACTATCCTACTAAACACCAACCTATTCTCCAAACAACAAAGTCTTCTTATTTTTCGCACACCACACTCTTGAATATGTCCATCTACTATTAACCTGTAACCCTCACTGCAAGATTCGCCAGAGTAGTTCTTGTATGTCATCATCTAAAGCACTTGTACTCTCAACTGTATCTTTGGGGCGAAATACAGGGGAGAGATTACATTTTAAAAAAACATGTGCTGTCTATTGCTATTTTATTCTGTGTTCTGTTGCCCACTATGAAGAGATATGTCAGTTATGGAAGTAAACACTCCGTTCCTTGGGCTTTGGATATTTTTTATATGCCTTTTTATATCCTCTGCACATGAAGGGGCCGCTTAGCCTTCATCGTAAAGTTAGTTGCATACTCAAGCATGTCGTTATTAGGATGAACCATCCATCCTCCATCCTTTGCAAGTGGTATGTCTTTCTCTGATCTAATGTTACGCACCGTTGTGGCCAGTGCAAATGTGTGTTCATCTTTTTCATCCTTAGAAACATCTACATTAGAAGATGGCTCTGCATTTTTGGGCATCTCTGTATGCCTTTTCTTTCGAGAAGTCTTCTTCTCATCATCCTTAGATGGCTTTTTATGAGATAGTTTTTCATCAGGGTTATCCTTAGAGGTATCATCTCCAGATTCTACATCAGGTCTGTTATTGGACTTGCCATCATCAGAGTCTTTATCTTTAGAGGAATCATCGTCAGAGTCAGCATTATCAGACGTATCACCATCATCTGTATCATCGTCAGAATTCTCATCAGCAGAAGACTCTTCTATTTTTTCTACATCTGCTGAAGTTGCCTCTTGAAGACCCATCTTGGCCAATATGCGTGCCTCTTTCTCAGATATTTCTGGCGCAGGGAGATTCTTGCCCATGAGCTTAGGTGGACACAATGCAATGTAGAGATTCTTTTCCTTTAGCCTAATAATGTACTTGCCATTTACAGTAAAGCTTTTTGCATACAGGAAAGCTGGATTAGTTGCATAACGCGTCCATATACATGTATTAGCGAGTGGTACATTTTTCTTGGACGTTATGTCAACTACCTTTGGACTCAACGGAAAGGAGACGGCAATTATATCTTCTTCATCATCATCATCGGACGGCTCTTCATCCGATGACTCCTGCTTGTTTCTCTTTCGCTTCTTTGGTTCTTCATCCTCGGAAGTCATATCGTCATCGGAAGACACAAACTTAGAAGTATGTGTCTTCTTTAAAGCCTTGGAAGACTTGGTACGCTTGTCGACAGGTGCGTTGTTGTTACTACGTTTTATATAACCTCTATCTTGATCTTGATGACGTCCACAGTATGTTTGACCAAGTTTGGCTACACTACCACAATTAGCACCCTTAATAGTTGTGCCTTGACACTTGCGCGCAGGATCGTGGACATAACAATGCATGCCTTCATCATCAACTTCCTTCATGCATTTGCGCTTGGACTTGGTGCACTTTTCTCCACAAAAGTAGTATCTCTCTACTTCCTCATCCTCATCAAGCGCCTTAAAGATCTTATTTGCATCTTTCTTGTTAAACTCCACTCCCTTCTTAGAGGAGAATGTCTCAAAGGCCTTGGTGATGAGCTCGATTGTAAGCTGAACGTACTTCATGTTTTTGGATATGAATAATATGGATTGTACTTGTGGTATGGTGGGTGTGAATGAGTTTTCAGTTTATGTGTGGTAGATTGCAGCTGCTTAGTACACTGATATAAAGAATTGCAATAAAAGATGGTTGTATAGGTATGGATGGTTGTATAGATATGGATAATTGTTGGTTGGTTACTAGATAAAGATTAAGCAAGAGGGAAGTGGACTCCTTTATTTATACTAATTCAGGAACACTGCCACAATGGACATTAATAGCGCTTGCTTATTAGCACTGCTTGGCGCTTAGTAACAAAAGAGTTTTAAAAAGGCATCTAAGTGGTTAATAATGTAGTGTTCCTCGTATGACGTAGATCTTGCTTATTAAGACTGCTTGGCATTAAAGACGGGGTTTAAAAATGGTTAAGAATGTAGTATTATTTTATGACGTAGGTTTGTACATGTGTTTATCCTCTTTGTTAAATAAAAAGGAATGCTGTAGAATAGCATAGAATAGCATCCGATCTACTACAATAATACCATGGCTTTTAATAATAGATACCGGTGCATATTAGCGTCTTGGCAGTTAATACCGTATCTTAAAGCTGACTAAATAGGCCATGTATGTCTATTCTTTTAAAAACCTGCAATAAGTCTACAGATTACCATTAACATCCATTTGTCGCTTCGTACCTCCACTAGAATAGTACCCGCGGCTTCGCTCGCGGAGGTGTTGGGTGAAAAAAAAAAAAAAAAAAAAAAGCGAAATGGATGTGGTAATATTTATTTCTGTCTGTCACTGTCTCCCTTGATCCCTACCCTCCTTTTTTTTTTCTTATGTCATTTTTTTTTTAGTCACTCAGGGCAAGAATCTCTGGGTAAACAACATTTGTTGTACAGCCATATGGTGTATCGGGACCCTCCCTCTCAATCAACACATGCACGTTGTTCTTGTTCGTCACTCGAGATAGGGCAACGTACAGTTGGCCATGGGCGAATACCGGCTTCTTGAGATAGATACCAACGGTGTCTAAAGTCTGACCTTGGGACTTGTTGATCGTCATTGCAAAGGCGGGTCGGATAGGGAACTGGAGTCGTCGGAACTTGAACGGAATATCGAGGTCAGAAGGGCAGATCGGGATGCGGGAAAGGAATACGTGATTGCCGGCATGTGTTCCTGTAATGATAGTGGCTCCCAAGACGTACCGTGAGAGCGATGTACATATGAGTCGCGTGCCATTGCAAAGTCCTTCCTGTGGCATGAGGTTTCGAAGGAGTATGACAGGACAACCCACGGTCAATCTCAGGCAGTGAGGAGGGAGCGAAGACGACTTGAGGCTGTTCAGAAACTCGATAGGAAACAGAGCGTCCACCCTATCGTCTTCTTTGTCGATGATGGAGTCCTGCGAGAGAAACTCTCTTGATTCCCCTTGTATGGCTGACATGATGTGGTTGTTGACTTCATCGACGTTGTCGTTTGTTGGGCAGAGCACCGCGCGCTGATTGAGATACTGGGCATTGCCAATATTGTGCTGGAGATCAGGGTAGACCTTGGCAATGAGATCGCCAATGTTGGCATTGGCTGGCATCACCATCTGGGGTGGAAGTGTGATGGTGGTGGAGATTCTGTGGTCTGGAGACGGGCCAGGAACAGTACCTTCTCCGACTTGAAGAAGCCAGTTTGCAAACCCGGTCTGTTCCTCGATGTCGGGAGCGTCGGCATTTCTGAGGAGGCGCATGTTAACGGAAAGATGAAGGTGTTGGATGTGGTCCCAGAGTGGAGATCGTTTAAAGCAGGCTCCAATGGTTTCCTCTCTGCGGCCTTGCTTAACGACTGGAGGAATCTGCCTGAAGTCGCCGCCAAAGACCATGAGCTTTTCTCCAAAGGGACGATGTTCGTTCGCAGGGTCCACAGTCTTCATCAGGTCTTTGAGAGTGCGATCTACAGCCTCAAAGATATGCCGATGCGTCATCGGAGCCTCGTCCCAGACAACGATCTTGGCCCGGATGAGAAGATTGGCAATTTCTGACCTGTGGTTGACTGAACAAACGCTATCCTCGTGGGTAGGGACGGGAATCTTAAAGCGCGAGTGAGCGGTTCTTCCGCCTTGTAGGAGTAATGCGGCGATTCCAGATCCAGCAACGGCAAGAGCGATATCGCGATTCGACCGGACCATAGACAGGATTAGGGAGTACAGGAAGGTCTTTCCTGTACCTGCAGGACCATCGATGAAGTACGCCTCGGAAGAGTTCATCTCATAGGAGTGCTTGATTCGGTCGTATGCTTCCCTCTGATTCGCGTTGAGTGACTGCTCCATCATGGCGAAATCTTCTGCGCTGGGCAAAGGGTAATTCAACTCGTCTGCAATAAATGCATTTACGTTGGGACCATGCTGCTCCAGTATGACGGGCTCGGGCATGCCTTCGTAGTCGTGGAGAGTCTTGCCGAGGTTCCTCAGGAGAACTTGTAAGTGGATCAAGGCAGCATTTGCACGCTGGTCTGCAAAGGATTGTCGCTGCTCAAGGCTGGTAGCGTCACGTTCCCTTGGACGGAGATCATCAGACAGTGCATCGCGAAAGGTGGTCCAAAGCTGAGCAGGATTTGTCGGGTTGCAAAAGGCAAGAATCTTTGCAAAAAGGGAGCGGAGTTGGTATCCCGTTTGGCTGACTGCGGCATCCCGAAGACAGTTCTCCCACTCGCGATCATCTTGAAGCATGCCAAGGGCGATGCAGGCGGCCTTGAACGTGGGGTGGACCTCGTTTTCGACTGTTCTTAGGCCCTCAAACGATATAGGACTTGGCACCGAGAGTAGTAGCAACCGCAAATAAAACAGATCGCCTGCGGTATCATGCACAAAAAAGAGTCGGCCGACTGTACATCCTCTCTCTCTGAGCTTCCATCGCTTTTCCCTCTTGAGGTAAACGTGGGTTTGAGGAAAGTCGTGGTACTTTGATGGCGGTTCGTCAGGATGGTCGCGATTATAGTCGAAGAATGCAGTCAGCGTACTGCGCTCCAGTGCGGCTCTCTCTAGGACATCGGCGATGGGTTCGTCCGAGCGGAAGGCGTGCATGAACTGGCCGGGAAGATGCAAATGCAACCTGGTGACGGATGGATAGGCACTGTGTAGGCGGAATCCGAATATGCCCCAAGAAGACTCGGAGGCAGAGACATAGCGACCGTCGATGAAATCAATGATCTCGTTGACTTCTGGCACAGGTAGATCTCCGGCTTCGGCTTGAGCTCCGTCTTGTGCCGGCTGTTGAACCACAACAGTGGCTCGATCATGACCCTTGTAGACGTACTTGTAAAGATACTTGACCGCAGTGGAAGAGGTGCAGCTCTCGACATTGATATGGGCACCATACTTTGCAGCCAGATAAGGGTTGTGCGGAACGACCCAACGGTTGTCAATCTCGAAATCTCCCCGGCCATCGATCCTGACTGTCCTTCCATCCATGCGGCGCCGGTACTGCGGATATCCATTTGGTCCGTTTGTGGTGGTTGCGAGGAAGGGCTTGGGATAGCCTTTGGTACACACGCCGTTCTCCATGCATGGAGAGTTCCTGTTTGCCGGTCCACATGGGCCATGGATCATGGATTTCACAACAGTCTCATAGGCGGCCGGATGAGTTGCAGGGTCAGGAATCTCGGCAGAAATGTATTTGTCGTAGTCCTCAGGCAATCCAGGCTTGTGCTCGGGGCTCATGATGAGCAGAATGTGTGCATGGGGGAGTCCACGCTTCTGGAACTCAATGACATGAATCATGCCGACGACCTTTCCGAGGACATGGTTTTTCAACAGATCATGCAGGAGTTCCTTCAGCTTGATGTGAAAGACGCGGGTCGTGCAGCGAGGATACTCTCGTCCGAAACGGTGTCAAAGATGGTTTCGAGGTAGTCGCAGTTGTTGGAGTGACGCTTCTGGGAATGGCTGATCCTTGCACTTGTCGTTTGCTTCCCTTTAAAGTATGGGCAGCGACGACTTGTTGACCTTTGGTGATCGTTTCCACGGCACCTGCTACACCTGCTAATAGGGGAAGAGGAGGAGGAAGAAGAAGCGATTGCATTGGGTGTGGTGATAGTGCTATTGATGGGAAGCGAGGAAGGAGAGGAGGGAGTGGTAACAGTAGATTTAGTGGCAGCCGTACGCCTGGTGGTGGTAAGGGAAGAGAACCTGACGGACTTGGTGGGCTGCGACCTTGTTGAGTTCGTCGCTCTAACCCGCTTGTATCCTGTAAAGGCTGTAGTTGAAGAGGTATCGATACTGGAGGTGGAGGTAAGAGGAACACGGCGAGTGGAAGGCATGTTGAATGGTGACAGATGTGATGAAAATGAAATTTGGAGTTGTGGCTGATGAAAGACTGTAGTTAGGAATAAAGGGGCAAAAAAAAAAAAAAAAAAAAGCACAAAAGCGAGGAAAAGAGTAGCAGCAAGTTATTAGAGAAGAAAAGGTTGTTGCTGGAGGATTCTAGAGGTTCTAGAGGACTCCCACTTTGCTTATTTAGCATTTCTTGGTCAGCAGATCCTCCTAGGGGACACGCACTTCGCTTTCTGTGGGATACGCATACGCACTTTTGCTTAGTCAACATCAATCAACAACAATGGGAGGTGGAAATTTAGTGGCGTTCGTCAGGCACACACACAGCACACACGATAGACATAATACAATCATGTGATTTAGGAACGATTGATTGATTGTGACTGCGAACTATATCAGGTGATCACTACAGTCGCTTTGTATTATTAGAAGCTCAATGGAAAGACCGGGTTGCATTATTACTGCTTGATCCATTGGTGTGTCCTCATCAACATTAACATCAACATCACCATGAAGATTAATACCAAGAAATTTGTTCTGGAGTTGTGCCATTGTATTTCCATCCTCCACTAGCGCACCAACATCAACATATCCCATTGGTTGCTCAACGTCGTTCTCTGTCGTCGGATACTCGAATCCTTCGCGAAGCCAAGCTGTATGAATTGGTTCTGCAGAAATCTTCAACAAAGCAACCATCTTTTTCATGTTTAAGAGTAACAAAGATAACTTCAACTGCAAATTATATGTTTGTTTCTTATCCACCAACACAGGAGTACGGTTGTTGTGTTTCTCAAATGTGGAACCAAGGTCTGCAAACAGAGATTCCATCTGCGAGCGGAAACTACCAAAGGTGGTATTGTATAACGCTTCTTCCTGTGTAAGTTCCTTGTTCTTCTGTTTACGGTATGGATGAGCGAAATTTTGGACTTTAAGAGTATCAGACTCATCTATAAGCCTCCTTAAGAACTGTGGATACCCTCCATCGAGAGCAATGCAATCCATCTCATGCACTCTCTTGTCCAACTTCATCGTTAGCAGCATTGTTCCATCAGCATTGTTCTTGCAAGATGCAGATTTGGAGACAAATAAGGCCATGCCATTACAATCCATTGCTACCTGTGTGCGTAACCCTGACTTTTTCAGCTTGTAAGAGTACATATCAGCACTACTCTCACCTTTGTATGTTGCTCTTGTATCATGACCATCAAGATGCAATGTAACATGCTTAAATAATGGAGGATTCTTTTCCTTTGCAGACAATAGGCGTATTTTAATTGTGGAGAACATTGTTGCAATACAGTTGGTGATGTACTTGTTGTGCAAAGTATATTCTTTCTTATAAAACACAGAGTGCATTGCATGAAAACTACTTTTTGGCATGTGTGGTTCCATTGCTTCCATAGACAGTCCTTTGACAAGATGATAGAGCATTAAAAGACCTTTCTCCACTTCTTTGTATGGACCAGGATACTTAACCTTTGGCCAGATGTCAACAAGAAAGAAGTACACTGGAATAGGACCAAGGCGTCGATTTAGGGTTTCTTTTATTTCTGGCATATACCCAATTTCCTTGCTTACAGTACGATGATTATTACGTGGTGTAATTGTTGGCCATCCAGCGTTGAGGAAAGTCCAATGGTCATCAAGCAGTTGTTGGAAGTGTTTTGTTAGATCCATAATAATATTTATGTATTGGATTGTCATGACGTTAACCAACAATAACAATTTTTTAAAAAGGCTTATACTTAACTGCATACACAACAGCATGTAGGATGGTATCTATCATATAGCAAGCACATAGTTGAGAATACAAATATATTTTTATATTTTTTTCGGTAGCGGCCCCTTCATGTGCAGAGGATATAAAAAGGCATATAAAAAATATCCAAAGCCCAAGGAACGGAGTGTTTACTTCCATAACTGACATATCTCTTCATAGTGGGCAACAGAACACAGAATAAAATAGCAATAGACAGCACATGTTTTTTTAAAATGTAATCTCTCCCCTGTATTTCGCCCCAAAGATACAGTTGAGAGTACAAGTGCTTTAGATGATGACATACAAGAACTACTCTGGCGAATCTTGCAGTGAGGGTTACAGGTTAATAGTAGATGGACATATTCAAGAGTGTGGTGTGCGAAAAATAAGAAGACTTTGTTGTTTGGAGAATAGGTTGGTGTTTAGTAGGATAGTTAAACAAAAAATGTTACAATGGTTGTCTTATATGCTTGGTATCATATATACATTCTCATCCCATAGTCGCTATGGATATTGTCGAGATCTACAGAGATGTAACAAACACCATATGATAACTTGGACGTGAAAGGCCTCCCAGGTTGTAATTACAGTCATGGCAAACTTAAAGCGCCTATTTCAACGGTTGTTAGAGGATGAATGGACTTTTTTGGATGCAGAATGGCCTACGCAAGAACCATCCAATAATCATAGGACTGCGTTGAAGCTAGTAGCACACATGAAAACTGTTAAAGACTTACTTATAAGAAGATTAGGTGCAATTCCTGTATTCTACTTTCTTGTAGTTATTTGGTCTCTCAAGCAGTATCCAGGTCCATACAGAGAAGTCGACAAAGGATTGTTGATATTGTACCACTTAGTTGCAGGCTTGGCAATGGATGGAATGTCAACCCACATACCAAAAAGTAGTTTCCACTCCATTCATACAGAGTTCTACAAGACTAACTATAATGTGCATTCGAAGCATATTAACCATGCACTTGCGAATATGTTCTCCACATTTCCTATACGCTTGATTTCTGCTAAACTCAGGAATCCACCACTATTCCCACATGTAACATTGCATTTGGATGGTCATGATACACGTCTTTCATGTGAAGAAAAGTCTAGCTCAGATATGTACTCTTACAAGCTGAAGAAATCTGGTGTAAGAACGCAAGTGTGTGTCGATTGCAATGGCATGGCAATACTAGTCTTTAAATCGCTACCTTGCAAGGATAACAACGATGGTACTATGTTGGTTGGTATGAAGATACATAAGCACATCCACGAGCTAGATTGTATTGCATTGGATGGAGGGTACACACAATACATTAAGAAAATAGTAGAAGAAACAAGCATGAGCAAGAAAAACTTTTGTTATCCAATTCGCAAAAGCCGTGGGAAAGATCTTGCACAAGATGAAACTAACTACAATAAGATTTTCGGCAGTTTCCGCTCTCAGATAGAAGCCGAATTTGGAGATCTTGGAGCAACCTTTGAGAAGCACAACAATAGGAAACCAGTGTTGGTAACCAAGATAGAAACATATAATTTGCAATTGCGATTGTGTCTCTTGCTTATGAACATCAAGAAGATGGTGGCACTACTGCAGTTAAATCTGGAACCCATTCATAGTGCCTGGATTAGAGATGGCTTCGACTTTCCATATGCCAATGGTGCAATGGAACAAATCTTGGATTATATTCCAGTGGATGAGATGTTGCATGATGCACGAGATATAACAAAGTTACAAGAGCAGTTCTTGGAGATGACTACTATGGATGTCGAGGATAAACAACGGGAAGAGCCGACTAATAAGCGACGTGAAATTTTTGCAGGAGTGGAGATTCCATCATATAAGCGTACAAAGTAAGCCCATTGTAATTTTTAAAAACTATCTATTAGCATTCTTAACGTATATAAATATCCTTGAACCCGCGAACAGTTCTGCATTGCAATGTGGTGAAATTCATATACGGAACTTGGCCATCGGGATATTCTTCCAGCCATGCAACGATCTTTGTTTCTAAACTAAGTCCACATCGTACTTTAATACCATTGGACAATGTTGCAAAAATATACTCTTTGTTGTGATACATATCCATTGCAATTGCTATGACTGTATAGCTGGTATTTATTTCAAGTACATTATATCCAGCTTTATATGTTGCTTTGTGGATAGCTCTATCATGGACTTGTATAAAATTCTCACCATTCATGTTTTCTAGATGAATATCAACAATTGGTGGTGCACCTTTGCGGATTCTTCTCTCAGGCCATTGGATCTTTACATTATCTACCTCCACTATACCCATATCCTCGAATTGTAAAACATCATCATCGTAAATGTATGGGTACATGCCTTTATGTGCTCCTGCAACAAGTGTTATTGCTGTACATTCGTCAGGCCGTTTGTACTTGGTAACTGTAATATCCTTGATGCTATTCTCATCCATCTCAACCTCCAAAAAGTATATTGGTCTATCGTTGAAGCTATAGTTGGCTAACAACGTCATTGCTTCCTCTTTCTCGACATTGTTACGATATGAACCATACTTCTTACCTGTAACAGAGTTCCACCAATGGCAATATGCGAATGCCGATTTTTCACCCATTGTTACATGAATACCTACCATGGATGATATATTGCCAACTATGTACTTCCAATATGCCTTGTATTTTACGCAGAACGTGGGACATTCTTGGATCTCTTCCTTTATGGCATCCAAAACTCCTTTATAATAGGAGAATGTATATATCTCCTGTCCATAAAAGGTAATTTCAAGTCTTGTTAGACCTGTTTTCTTCGCCTTTCGAAGTCTCTTATGTAGGTCCTTATCCACATCCATAACAAAATTCTCCATTCTTGAACCCAACGACATTTTTACTTCAGCACTCTCCAACATCTGTACAAGTTTGTTATAAACCTTACAACGGACCTTTTGGTCTTTTTCGGTGACTCCAAACCAAGAGAGACAGTGGTTACCAACCTTATGGAGATCGTCGGCAATATCCAAATCTTCTCCAAATCTCTCTTGAAGGTATTGCTGAAGAATTGGACGGCTTGTAACATATCTACAATCCGTAGCAATGTCTATATCATGGAGGATAATATAGTCAACCTCAAGCTCATGAAATATTGGTGGTAACTCGGAAATTAAAGAGATGGCCTCCAGTTCATTGAGCGTTACCTTAATGCTGAAATATCCTGCATGGTATAAGGCCGAACTTCTAAACTTTTTTCTATGTTTTCGTAGCATTTCAGAGCTAAAAAAACTATTGGGTTTGATATAACCCTCGTTAACAACTTTAACCATGGAGTGGCTAATATCAAGGTCTTTAAAAGCTTCGCAAATATTGGCAGTGGTGTTCTTGCGTTGCTCGTCAACAAGGTCAGCCCGGTTGTGCAATCCCCAGAGTATTAAACTATCGCAGAATATCTCTGAGTACTTTTTCCAGCCAGTCTTTGGTTTGCCAGGCAATGCAATCTCTTTGCCCACATCAGAGATAAGATGGGCATATGAGTTCAGCGCCTTGTTAATGGATTTAGGTATAGCGGACATGTTGAATAACTTACTGTTTGCAGAGATATGTACTACAAACTTTTTAAAAACCACTTTACTCTGAAGCAAATTTTCGGTGTGCTGACCATGATAATGCACCAATTGTATGCATATGTTTTTGTAAATCTGGTGCAAAAAAGTCTACCAATCCCCACAGTTCTTCCTTTGACATACCATTAAGTTCTTGCTGAGACTTACCACGTAACAAAACAGCTCTCAAGTACATTGCCATTGTAGGATGCATATGATGCTCATGTATATAAATGGCTATTATTTGCTTAATTTCTTTAAGTGTTGGCATTGCATAACTAGTAAACCATTAGGAAGAATGCCTATACTACAATACACTTTTAGATTTGTTGCACTATAAAAGAAGTTATCTCATATTCCATGATAGATTGGATAGAAATATAATGCATATATCATCTATTTCAAGAGAATTTAAACGTAAACTATTAGCAAAAATTCCTTTATATAGGGAAATGTCTTGGGTCGAAATAGTTAAATATGTTATGGAATACCAATGGAAGTTGCAAGAATTTGTACAGACGATTATGGAAGGAGTTTTTAAAAAGACAACAGATATATCTATAAAGAATACATATACAAAAGCAAAAGAATCCAAATGGACATAGTTATCTAGCAGTATTACAAGAGCAAAACGTAAGGAAAGAGTATCAATGGGAATCGTCTTGGGTCGAAATAGATGAATATGTTATGGAATACCAATGGAGGTTGCAAGAATTTGTACAGACAATTATGGAAGGAGTTTTTAAAAAGATAACAAATACATCTATAAAGAGTACATATACAAAAGCAAAAGAATCCAAATGGACATAGTTATCTAGCAGTATTACAAGAGCAAAACGTAAGGAGAGAGTATCAACATAAACATATTTTACATATCGGTAATCGGGCAGGACAAAAAGGTTGGAGCGCTTTTTTTTGGGCGAGGGAGTACACCTGTTTTCTCGTCTTTTGTTAAGCTATGCCCACCATTTTAAATCACCTACGTTCATATAACATATATAGCATTTATACGTGTGTCCACGGTGAATCTCATGCATATACATCATGATGATAATGGTACCAGCTTGGTTGACAGTACATGAATTTCCTGGGAATAATTCCCATAATACTACTCATGGAAGGTATATATATTGCACATTTTAAAAGTTTATTCCGATAGCTCAACAACATTGGCTGTATCTAATTCTTCCTCTTGATTTACCATGAGACCACTGGCAAATCCTTTGATCAAGGCATTTATTATATAAATCTCCCTCTTCTGCTGGGAAATAATTTGGTTCATCTTATCCATTTCTTTCTCCAATTTTCTGACACGTTTCTTTAACTTCTTATTCTCATACTGTAAATCATCATCGGATTGTTGCACATCCTCATCTTTCTTACATCTCCCAGATTTCACATGCTTTCCACCATTCTTTTTTGCCTGATAGCTCTCCTTGGAAGACTTTATCTTGCATTCCTTACATGTATTTCTGGAATCATCGTAGAAATCATATAAAGGCTTCTTTTGGTCACACCTGTTGCAAATCCTTTTTGGCATATTAGGCGGAATGGTGATCTCTTGATAGTTGATATACCACGTTTTTTCCCGGGAATATTTCTCTCAATGTTTGTGTTTGAGGGCATACACAACAATATCTAATATAGATGTCAAGTTGTATCTATTCAAGGGAGTAATTGACAAATAGGTATATAGGGGGATGACCATTTAGACGTCTTATCGCCGCAAATATATTATGCCCAGGCCTACACGTTTAACCAAAGCACGCCAGCAGGAAGTTGTTGCAGATTTTATTTATGAGAAGAATCTGGAATTGTGTATGTTTGTCTATTTGGATGAATTTTTAGATCATCATCGTAACCTCTTTCCACAAGATGCCACTATATTTGGCACTAACGGCATAAAAAAGTTATTAGAGGCATCTTATCAACTCCTACGTGACAAAATACGTGCAGATGGATTACTTACCGAGAAAGACGCTGGTGAATATATGCTTAGAAAAAAATGACGACCTAAATTATAGACTTTTTAAAACCTAAGTATACCTTTTATTATGTCGCCAACAAAAGAATCTCTGATAAACAAAGCCATCAACGAAATTTCCCATTTGCTGTCAAATGTGGGTAATCTACAGTCAGCACCATTTGGCAGTGTGGAGAGAAAAGGATTCACCAAATTCTCCAAACTCTTTTGCGATTCCATCATCTTTTGGGGTATATATAACTTTGCTGACGATACCACTAAAGGTACAGCAATTGGAAAGTACATTGCTGAACTGCGCGATGCATTTAACCACACCGATTTAAATGTGGAATCTGTAAAGTTGGTCGATGCTAGGCAGGTTAAAATGGATGATAACTATTTTTCTCCGCGCATGGTCAAACGCCATAGAAAGTTGTTTGTTGGAAAAGAATACCAACAGGGATTTATTGCCATCAAGGTTTCTTTAGATTTTTCCCGCGCAAAGATTGTTGTGCCAATTTTGACGAACATGTTGTCTAGCTTGAACGAGAGCGGCATTGCTTTACATGACATAGACTTTGCCTATGATTGTACACGTATTACCACACGACTGCACGTGGAGAGATTGCTAAAACAAACGAAAACTACAAAAATTGTCGATGATGTGGGAAGAGTAGGACATCATTGTATTTCATGGAGAGGTCGAAAAGGGGATACAAAGAATATCCGATATAAGGTGTATAACAAATTTGTCCAGATTTTGGAAAGTGCCGAGGTGCGAAAGAGCCTTGGTTCACGTTTGGAGGATTTGGTGGAGAAAGAAACAGCATTTGGACGACGAGTTAAAAAATATAAAAAGCATGGTTATAGTCGTATCGAGCTGACGTTTGAAGGTTCATCTTTGAGATCTCTTCAGTCATATCAAGACGAAATGGACAAGACAAAGAATCTCTTGAAGAAATGTAAAACATTTAAATGTTCCTTTGAGATGCAGTGGGAGGAACGTGCAAAATGCATTACCTCGATGGTGGCTGTACATTTTCCACATGAGAAACTGTTTGCTTATTGTCACTGGTGGAATTCGGTAACCTCTAAGAAGTATGGATATATGTGGCAAAACTTTAAGAACCCCGAGCTTATTACACTTTTGCTGGCTAACTATTCCTTTAACGATAGACCTATATATTTTGTGGAAGGACATGTAGAAGAGGTAAATGGGAAAGATGAAGTTATTTTGGGCGAAATAAGGACATTTAAGCGCGAGCCTGGATGTACTGCCATCACGCTAGTTGCTGGCTCGCAAAAAGGAATGTTTCCTTCGAGGGATGCATCTTCTAACGTCATTCGTAAATTTAGCAAAGTTGGAATTGTGGAAGTTGACAACATCTCTATTGCCTGGCCAAAGCGTGTTCATAACAGGTATAGTGCCCCACTTGCAGATATCTTCGAATATGATGAAGATACAGTAGATACAAATGTATTACATCTGAAAACTATTCATGTTTCGATGTATACTGCAGCCGACCGAATTCTAAAGCCTGATGAGGAGTATACCATTGTAGCGGCCGGTCTCAAAGAATTTCGTTCTGAACATCGTTGGCATTTTATTACAGCATGTGGCATAAAGGTGCGCGCAGGAAAATCGTTGGCAAAGATTTGGACACCATGGCGTGTGGAGCATCTTCAAGGTCTACAGAGAATTGGTAGTGTGAAAGGTGTGCCGTTCATGACATTTCGAGCGATTAGAGTGGTTAATTCACATAATATACTTGATATGAAGTGCGAGCGCGTTTGAGAGGTTTTTAAAAACTTTGGAAAGACTTTTGTTAATTATAGACTGGTATTATCATCTTCGTGGTTTGACATTTCCTCGTCATCATCCTTATTTGACGTTTGTTCATCATCATCATCTGAAGCAACATCTATTCCTACAAATTTCTCTTGCATTCTTTGTAACTCAAGACCATTTTCCAGTTTGTTTTGTACTGTAACGGTTTGAGTTAACTCTGGGACAAGTTGCCTTTCTCGTGGATAATCTACTCCTTCTTCCATCCATCCACGATGATGTGGCTGCTCTTCGATGTCCACTGCTTTAACAAAGTTGCGAATATTTAGCAACAGAAGACAAAGGCGGAATGTAAGATTAAACTCCTTTTTGGATCCAACTCTTACAATCTCCTTGTTATTAAACTTGGCGAATGTTTTCATGAGATCACCAAAGACAGCCTCTGACGTAGATCGAAATCCACCAAACATAGCATTAAAGTTGGATTCCTCTTCGTGGAGTTGCTGTAGTCGTTTCTTACGGATGGGAAAACAGAAGTTACGCTCGTCCAACTTTTCTTTTTCCACAATATCGCCAATGTATTGTGTATATCCTCCATCGAGAGCAATACAGTCCATGCTGTCCATCTTCTTGCCAATGCCCATCTCTTGTAACATTTTCCCATCGTTGTTATCACGACATGACGCTGATTTGGATACAAAGAGAACCATTCCATTGGCATCGATGGCCACTTGCGTTCTCAAACCCGATTTCTTTAACTTATAAGAATACATTGCTGCTTTATCTTCCCCATATGTTGCTCGAGAGTCATGACCATCCAAGTAGAGAGTTACATGCTTGAACATTGGGGGATTTTTCCAATTGGCTGTTCG